GGTTATTAACCTAAATACATAGTATAGTAAGATAAATTATTGTACTTTTAGCTACCTATAAAAAGTCCTTTAAATATTCTTTATTATGTGACTATATATATATGTACCTATAATCCTTATCCATATTCCATTCAAAAAGGTGATTCATGTAGCTAATCCCATTAAAAGGGTGCAAAATGAGGCTCATGGAAGGTGGGCCGCCATATATACTTTCTAGCTTAAATGGTAGAAATTCCCAGTGCTCCAGACTAGTGTTCATGGGGCAGGAAGAGTCACGACATAGCAAGTAAGAAGAACAAGGAGTAACACGTGCAGAAACTGCAGCCAAGAGAGATTCTGAAAAGCATCCCGCGCTCGGTGTGCCGCTCGGCTGTGTCTCCAAGGCCCCCCTCTGCTGGTGGAGCCGCAGGGGAGGGACCTGGGCCTTACAGCGCACGCGCCATGTGCGGTCCTCCCGCCGAGGCCCCGACCTCTTCCGAGAGCGGAAGAGCAACAGCGGATGGAAGAGAACCGTGGGTGATGTAAGGACTGACGCAGACCCTTGGGTGGTAAAGATACACCTAGGGGAGAAAACAGCGCTTTTATGGTGTCTGTGAGTTATGCATTGGATCACTGTTGGTATTTGTCAAGTTTAGGTTTCATGTATTCTCAACCATGAAGTCGTGGTTTCTAATAGATACTGGGAAGATTGACTTATGTGGTAAGGTTGTTCCAGACTATTCAGAAAATCGTACAAATAAAAAGAGAATCATACAAGTATATAAAAGTTAAGAAAGTAAACTGATGAGTGAAGGAGAGGACTTTTTATATGGTGGAAACACACAGAGGAAAGGAATGTATTCTGGAGAATTTTTAATGTGAAATTTAACGTACGCTACTTTTTTTTACCTGACATGAACTCTCCTCTCCTTCTCATCTCTAACTCATCAAGGGAGGCTCTTGCAACCCATGCTAACTTCTACATCCTCGGAAATTATTAAGTACTGGCAAGTATATCAAAGTGCTTTCTGCAACACTTGTTTTTAGTGTCTTCTCATTTGGTTTTGCTGTCTTGTAAAGGCAGGAGGAGAAGGACAGAGAATGAGAATGTTGGATGGCATCACTGACATGATAGACGTGAGTTTGAGTAGGCTCCAGGAGTTGGTGATGGACAGAGAAGCCTGGCATGCTGCAGTCCATGGGACCGCAAAGAATTGGACATGACTGAGAGACTGATCTGACTGAATACCTCTTGTAGCAAGAAATAATTTTTTAAATGAGTGCTGCACAAATAGTAGAAGATCGTTTAACTGATCTCGGCTTGACTAACCTGGGCCCCGTTAAACCACATTCCCTCCCTAAGACATGCTGAAGGATGCCCCCGGCATAGCACACCCAGGGCTGGAAGGACAGTCTTTAGTACATGCCTATACTTTTTGCTTCCATGAGTCGACTTGGTGCTTACTGGGAATCTGTGGGTGTTCATTCTTTAACCTATTTGTTCTTATTGTACTTCTCAAAGTAATCATCACTTAGGTGTTTCATAAGCCACCAAAAAACAGTCTAGCCAAAATTGTTGGTAGGAAAACCAAATATAATGTTCTAGAAAGACTTTTTGAGTTGCCAGGAAAACATTGCTGAGGACGAGATAACAATAAACTGGGGTGGATGGCATCATGACATTGTAGTTTCCACTTAATGAAGCAAGCCATGGATTGTGCCCCAAAGTCAGGTTTCTGGAAGAAAAATATGCAGAATTTCAAACACAAACTCCTTTGCAGAGTATAGTTCTTTGCCTTACATCACAAGCTTGTACGTTTATATTCTGAGTTAAATGTTATAAGGTATGCATATTTTGTTTTCTGAATTCTACTTAAACGTGACATCTTTCTTTAGCAACCAACTACTGTTTCAAACCCATCGGACACCAGAGCTTCTGCTGTTTGTTGAATCTTCTTCCAAGGATGGTCCTTCCAGTTGTCCTCTTTTATCTTGATAATGGAAGCAGATATCCTTACTTGTGCTACTTGCAGTGAAATTTGGGTTGTCTCTCATTACATCATTGCCTTTTCTTAAAGAAAAACAGATATTGTTCTTGCCTCCGGAACTCATACTCTGTTTTAAGACCTGAGTTAGTCATATCCATGCTTGTTTGTTTGTTTGTTCAGTCTCTAAGCCGTGTCCAACTCTTTGCAGTCCCATGGACTGCAGCACACCAGGCTTCCCTGTCCTTCACTATATCCCAGATTTTGCTTTGACTCATGTCCCATTGAGTCATTGGTGCTATGCAAGCATCTCATCCTATATCACCCCTTCCTCTCACCATCAGTCTTTCCCAGCATCAGGGTCTTTTCCAGTGAGTCAGCTCTTCACATCAGATGGCCAAAGTATTGGAGATTCGGCATCAGTCCTTCCAATGAATAGTCAGGGTTGACTTCCTTTAGGATTGACTGGTTTGATCTCNTCCCTTGATGTACTCTGCATAGAAGTTAAATAAGCAAGGTGTCAATATACAGTCTTGATATGCTCCTTTCCCAATTTTGAACCAGTCTGTTGTTCCATGGCCATTCTAACTGTTGCTTCTTGACCTGCATACAGGTTTCTCAGGAGACAGGTAAGGTGGCCCGATACTCCCATCTCTTTAAGAATTTTCCACAGTTTGTGGTGATCCACACAATCAAAGGCTCTAGCGTAGTCAATGAAGCAAAAGTAGATGTTTTTCTGAAATTCCCTTGCTTTGTTTATGATCTAATGTATATTGGCAATTTGATCTCTGGTTCTTCTTCCATTTCTAAATCCAGCTTGACATCTGGAAGTTCTCGGTTCACATACTGTTGAAGTCTAGCTTGAAGGATTTTGAGCATTACCTTGCTAGCATGTGAAATGAGTGCAATTGTGCAGTAGTTTGAACATTCTTTGGTATTGCCTTTCTTTGGGATTGGAATGAAAACTGACCTTTTCCAGTCCTGTGGCCACTGCTGAGTTTTCCAAATTTGCTGGCATATTGAGTGCAGCACTTTCACAGCATCATCTTTTAGGATTTTAAATAGCTTGGCTGGAATTCCATCCACTGTGTTGGTAAAAATCCTCAGCCAGTTTTAATTTGGGGGTATTAAAAATTGTAATGCCAAGCAGAGAAAGCAGTGGTTAGTTGTAACAGTCATGAAGAAAAGAAAACAAAGTTTAGTCCAGCTTTTTTCTGATGATTCTCTAAATCGTTACTATTAGCTCACCATGCAGAGATTTATCCTTTATTTTACATTCATCTTATGGGAAAAAAATAAATACCTGTGTTTCTCAGCTCCATTGATCCCATGGTGTGACCTCACAATGTATTTGCATTGTGAGCCTGTTAAGTTGTAAAGGGAATTTGACAAATGTTTTCAAATGCTTCTCTCTTTTCATGCCCATTTCCCATTTGCTTTTTAGATCACTTCTTGGTGAGCATTCTTTTTTGACATTTACTAAATGTCAGCTATAGTTCATATTTGAAACATTGGCCTAGAGCCAGTGGGCTGACCAATTTATAATAGCCTGTTAAGAAAAATTAAATAATATGTGAAAATGAAATGAAAATTGCTTCAAAGAAAAATGAGGGCTAACAGTGGAAAAGCCCGTTAATGATGTGATACTCATCCATTCCTTTACGGTATTCACAGTTGTGTCATTTTGTACTGTTGCCAGACTCGGAAAGGAAATTCAAAGAAAGAATTAAAAATAATTCTTTCATATAGCAAGCATTTATTGAGTACCTATCTTGGATCAGCACAAGTAATACAAAGATGAAGGGACCGGTTCACTCTGCAAGCAACTCACGCTCCAACACAATGATTCTCAAACTTGAAATAAAGACTGAATCTGTTCTTGGCCGAAGCATTTAAGAAGGGACATCTGGGCCTCCTGAAGGCACTTATTTGTGCAAAATACCCACTGCTAGGAATTTTTCCTAAGGAAAAAATCAGGAAAATGTGCAAAGATGTATGGAGTCCCATAGTCATGATCTTCATTTCTAAGCAGGCTAATAAATGATTTACCAGATGTTCCAGCAGGTATTTACTGCACTTAACCTTGATAAAGAATTTAGCTCTGGGTTATTTCTTTTGCTCACTACCAATGTCTATATTAATTGTTTCTCAATAGTTCATTACTCTCTTAATAGTTTACTGAGCCAGATCACTATTCAGTTTTCCTTTCTTTCTGTCTAATCACCGAGATAGCATGGATACTAGATTAAGTTAATCATGCAAATAAATATTTTGTCACTGAACTGTAATTGTTGTGGGATTTTAAGTCTATGATAAGTTGCTCCAAAGTTAATATTAATACTATACAATTTTAGTATGGATGCTGGAGTTTTCTATTCCTGACCCACCTTTATGTAAAAGATTGCTTGATTCTACTTGGCCATTGTCAGTAGCTTTAGAAAAGAAACAGGCAGATGAACTATGTAATCAAGCACTTGGTATTTACTTTAATTGACTCTCCTGGGTGTCTGAGAACAGGTAGGGAAGTTACCCAGTTCGTTATTGTTTATTTAAATTGTTTACATGTATAAGAATCATCTAAGATCAGCTTATGGAGGTTCAAAACTTTTATTTTCAAGGTATAGTAGAACAGTTGGTATTTGAACTATCATTCAACAGCCTTTCTGGCTTTCTTTCTCATTCAAAAGTGAAGAATCAGAAATCCTGATATTATCTGTTGGGAAATAATGTGATTTCTGAACACAAACATCATCTTTTAACAAGTGTATGCTCACATTCTGGGAAACTAATATTTAACAAGGCATTGTAGCTTCGATCTGTCACCTAGAGTTTTGCTTCTGTGACTTTATTTTTCCCTTAAAGTGGCAAACCAGGCTAACAGAGATTTAAACACTTAAACGTAAGACTTTTCCATGGTGTTTCTTCAGAGACCTTTTCATTAAGCTCTTCTGCTGCTTTTATCCTGCAAGACAGTGACATCTTAAAATTCCTTTTCTCAGGAAAAAAAAAAAAAGTGATAATTTGTTGTTATTTAAGGGTTTCTCCTCTTCAAAAATCTGAAGTTGTTGAGATGGTTAAGAAACAAGTTAAAGTCATAACATTGGCCATTGGTGATGGAGCAAATGACGTCAGTATGATACAGACAGCCCATGTCGGAGTAGGAATCAGTGGCAATGAAGGCCTTCAGGCAGCTAACTCTTCTGACTACTCTATAGCTCAGGTAAGCAGCATTTCTGCCAAACACACCGTTCATCTGTGTCAACTGCCACTATGAAGAGGAAGATGTTCACTTTTTTCCATTCTTATTTTAGTTCAAATATTTGAAGAATTTGTTGATGGTGCATGGTGCCTGGAACTATAACAGAGTCTCCAAGTGTATCCTGTATTGCTTCTACAAGAATATAGTCCTCTATATTATCGAGGTAATGGCAAGTTAAGTGTAAAAATCCTTGTCATTCGCACATATATTTGAAACGTTTTGGAGAAGACATTTCTTCATAATTTTAATTAATCCTTCATCAGCCCACTTTTTTAACTTGTGAATATGTTAAAAAGTTTGTCAGCTGTGGAGAATAATGTTGAAATTCTGGCTAAACACATTCTGTTGCTCTGGTAAGAAATGTTGGATTATAGTTGCTAATAAAGTGATGTGTTCAGTTTTTTTAAAAACTACAAACTACATAGCATTTTTTATAAAGTTCAAAAGCATGCAAGAGAAAACAGTAAATTGTTTAGGGATGCACATGAGGAAAACTGTGTTTAAAGAGAAAAAGAAGGGAAAATGGAAGTCCAAAAAAAAGAGGGGATATACATAGAGCTGATTCACTTTACTGTACTGTAGAAAATAACACAACATTGTGAAGCAACTATACAATAAAAATCAATTTTTTTAAAAAAAGGAAGGGAACAGTGGATATAAAACTGAGGATGTCTGTTCTACTAAGGGATCTAATCAATAAAAACACACAGGTAGTTTTGCTAGTATTGGTCATCCTGTAGTTCTTCTTATGTTTCAGGCCTACGTAATTGGACAGAAGTATGCCTTGCTCTTCAGATCGGTTTTTGGTGTCTGAATTCGGTAGGAAACAAAGAGTCCAGATAATGAGGAATTTGTCTAAAAATTATCAGAATGGTTTGGTTACTGTGTCTGGATCACAAGAAATCTCTATATCCCTTTTCATGTGGCAAATATAATATCACTTTTGGCCTGTAAACTTACTGTGGATCAGGACTATCATTTCTGAAAGGGCGCATTTTATCCTGCAGACATGTTTTGCAGTCTACAGGCTGCCAGGCACCAGGGTTAGTTCAGTAACTAAATCGCGCGAGGTTTCTACCCTCCAAAAACTTGCCAGTAGAAATATAAAGCAAACCACATGTGTAATTTTACATTTTCTGGGACCCACATCAACAACGAGTAAAAATTAAAGCCCAAATTAATTTTAAATTATATTTCATTTAACTCTATATATTCAATATTATTATTTCAGCTTGGAATCTCTATAAAAAATTATTAAAGCAATATTTCACATTCTTTTCTTCATAACTAAGTGTTCACAGTCTAGTGTGTATTTTACACATACAGCGTATCTTAGTTTGGACTAATCACATTTCAAGTATTCAAGAACCACATGGCCAGTGGCTGTTCCTCTGGGTATCATAGCACCAGTAGGTGAATAAGTAAACTCAACACTCAGGATGCGATAAGTAAGTCCTTTATATTTTTTTTAAAAAATAGGACCATCTTATCATCAGAAGCTGTATTCGTAATCCTTGAACTCTAGGCGTTACCAGTTCCGTGCTCCTCTTGGAGCTCCACGGAGCATGACAAGGAGCGCTCCATAGCTTGTTAAGAAAGCCTCCGTCTTCCACCCTGTCCGAGGACCTGCCGACGCCTTCATAAATCTGCCCTGGGCTCCCTTACACGTCTTTGTTCATGCCAGCTTGCCTTCTGCTCAGCTGACTGCTTCTCCACATCCATCAGCAGAGGCAGAACCTTCCCATGTGCCATTTGAAAATCATATCTCATACTTTATGCCACAAAAGTAACACTGTAAACAAAGCAGTCAGTAGACTTTACATTTCCCCTGCTGAGATGTTAGTTGGAAACTGCTGTTTGTTTGCCTCAGCTGTTCTTTATGCCTGTCAGAATGGTTATCTTCTTATCAAAATGTTGACTGAGCATAGTTCTTATTATGAGTTAGATTAATAAAATTAAGGGCTTCCCTCGTGGTTCACACGGTAAGGAATCCGCCTGCAATCCAGGAGACCCAGGTTCGATCCCTGGGTTTTCAGTTTCAAAGTGTGCAGGCAGTTTTATTTATTGGTCACTAAAAATCTGTAATTAGATTGCAACCCATTAGGTAAAATAATGAAATACTATAATTAAATACTTGGAAACATAAACAGAATAATCTATGAATTTAGTTATTGTTCATTACTGCCGAATTTGGTCTGAAATAGTCTGTTTTGAAACAAAATGCACTTCCAAAATAGCTTATAAGATCGTACAAAATATTTTGTTTATATAAATTTTTTATTCTTTTCTAATAAAATTATTACAATTCTCAGTCCCCTCTATAGTCCTAACTTTTCTAGTTAGATTTTTTTCTTATCCCTCAACATTTATTGACATTAGAAAGAATACCAATTTAGACAGTTTATTTACATATATTCTTGAAGTATCTGGGTGTTTAATGCCACTGGCAATAATAAATCTGCTTGCAAAAATATCATTGTGTAAAATGAAATGGGTACTCAACTTGCCACTTTTTAAATCTAGATTATTTGACAATCAACAATGAAGTGGTCAAAATTATGTACTAATGGGAGACATAAAATGTATCAAACTCACATGAAAAACTAAATCAGCATGCTCTGTTTCAAATCCAGAGTTATGCAATTTGTGGTTGATTAGCCCTAAACTTCACTTGGCTTTGAATTTAAAGCCTCTTTGAAAGATAACTAATACTGATCAAATTCTTTACACATTGGAAAGGAAGTCAGTCCTAAACTTTACGGGAAATCTCATTCTTAAGTTATTTTTCTTTTAGCAGTTTATGGAAATGTATTTTGAATATAATTCAACTATCTTGGAAATGAATTGACCTTTTAAATCAATTCCCAGATACCCAACTTTTGCCAGCTAAAACAAGTTCTGCAGATGGTAATGGCTCATGTCAATACTGTGAGTGAATAGACAGAATGCACATCACTGAATGTCTCTAGTGAGGACAACTGCCAGTCTCGAATCTCCCCTTTCAGATTTTGTGCTGATGGGGCGTGGGAGCAGAGGACTCACTGACTGTTTGTAAGCTGCTGTTTAACATGCAGAAATGCTCCATCGGGAAATGCCTGTGAAGCTTTAACTGCCACGCCTCTACTGGGACGTGAAAGTCAGAAAATAATACCAGGACAGGCAGGTCTGAAGTTTCTTTGCTAAGAAAGAAATAGGATGGAACACTATGGGATTTATAGATTATCTGTAAAAACTGCTTTTCCCGTTGCTGAACTGCCAGGAATGTCACCGTCTAGCTACTGCACGGCCATAAATTATGGCCAAACAAATAAAAACAGATTTGGCAGGTGGCGGTACAAAGCGCTTGCTTGTGCTGGCCACTCAACAGGGACTCTAGGTGTTCATTGGAATGACTGGCACTCGCTAAAGAGATTTTAGTTTCTCTGACTCCTTAAAATAAGACCTTTTCTCTCAAACAATTGGTCACATCCAGGTTTTCCGGTAAGATCCCAAGGCAGTGTAGTGTTTCTGATTTCCAGAAGCTTTGATTAAAGTCAATGAGGTGATACTTTCCCACCAGTTGTGCTGAGATATGGATTTCCTGTGAATTTAAATAATTTAGATACCTCCCCAGAGGGACTTATGTTTTCTTTCTGCATCCATGGTTTTGTTGAGTCAAGGGAGGGACTTTTATGTGTTTATAGTAATTTAGATGTTGTTTTATTTAGTATGGGATGCATTTCTAATGTATCTTTAAACTGCAAATCTCAGACTAACTTGAAATCAGCCTTCTGGTAGACGTCTTCACTGTTAAAAATCTCTCTTTCCTTTAAAATATGTAAACTTCAGTGCCAAAATATTTATATGAAAATGTGGGTACTATAGTCATTTCTCCTTTAAAAAAAATTAAAATACAATGTATGACAAAAACCACTGCAATGATGTAAAGTAATTAGCCTCCAACTAGTAAAAATAAATGGAAAAAAAAATTAAAATATTAACTTTTTAAAGCACAGGAAGAGAATTTTTAGAAACATGTTCACATACCTTTCAGTAGGAAAAATAAAAAGGCAAAAATGCTTTGATAGCTTTCAACTTAAAAATGTCTACATTGTTCTCATAAAGCAGTTAGATACGTAGTGAATTTTAAAATAAACTTGGACTGCGAGTGTGTTAGCTTATTTGCAAGTTATTTTGAATTGGAAGCGGAATATAAATATCCATTGACTTAGATTCCTAAATTTCAAATTTAGATTCCTCAATTTCAAGCTCCTAGTGGTGTTTTAATCACCAAATTTACATACAAAGAAGCCAGGAGACCATTCACATTTACAAATGTTTATTCACACACAAATTTATTAACATAAATGTCTCCTACTATACAGTATTGATGTTTGCAAATGCATTTATAACTAACCTTTGAGCCAAATCATGTCCATTAAAGGAATTTGGTATGTTTGCAACTGCAGCTTTCTTCAGACCAGCGAAGATTAGGCTGCATCTTCATAGACTATTCAGGCCACAACTGAAAGTTTGTGTTTAAAAATTCCTTATATTACCATCATAGCATAAGAAATCTGAATGAGCTTCACAGTCACCTACAGGGAAAACATTACCGTCACCCAGAGTACCACAAATATGTATTTACATAATCCACATCTCAAAAAGGCCAAATGTGAAAACACAATAGATCGCGTTGAAGTCTGTCCTGTCAATTTATGTCTACTTAACGCCTTCCAAAAAAAAAAGTTTTAAGTCTGCAGCACCACCCCAAGTCTCCCAGGAATAAATTTAACTTCCCTTGAAGATGCTAAGTACTTTTGCATGTAGCAATGAATGATCTGGCTTCTAGGTGAGAGCACAAGTTCACATCTTTTCCGTAAATATATGTGGCAAGCAAGTGAGAGCTTCAGATTTGCCTCCCATATCCACGCTTTTGTTCTTGTTGTCGTTAATACACGTTACAACCCTAACACAATCTGGACTTATTTTCATGTGCTATTGCGGCTTGTTCTCTTTTCCATCTCATGAAGCCGACATTGGTTTTTATATATGCTCAGTCCTTCCTTTCCACTATGAAAAGGAAAAAGATCAATGTGGGTACAGAAACTGTTGATAGGGAGGCCAGCCTGGGTACATATTGATAAACGGTGAATTTGTAGCAATTCATGCTTCCATAATGAGGTTAAATGAAACGTGAAGTGTAGCAAAGTCCATGCAACTCCAGTTCAAAAATTCACTTAACCAGCATGTCCAGACTGCTGTTCCCTAACAGGTTTTTGGTTGTTGTTGTGATAGTTTGGCTTTGTGTTTGCGTTTATGTCATGTTGGGTCAGACATTTTTCTCTTCCAGATCAATGTGATTTTTAATTACATTTTAGTCCTGCTTTTTTAAAAATAACATAGGGTTTATTGATTTACTAACATTCACTTAAATTTTCCATTTGTCTTAAATATGCTGGAGAAAGTTTCTTTTTATTGTCCTTTAATTTTGTAGGCAAAGTTCAGTTTTCTGCTTTTAAGAAACTGCAAAATATATAAGAACATGTCACTCTATTAGTTAAAGATTTGTTTTTAATCAAAGTATAAATTTAAGTTACAAAATATTTTTAATATTATAAATTCAAATTTTGCATTCTGATGGCTATAATTATCAAGAACTGTTTTTTAAAAAGGTTAAGTACTCTGACACATTAATTCTTCATCTAAGAATTCATTCTAAAAGAAAAAAGAACAGGAGGAAATTTTGGGAGATGATGGGATATGTCTGTTACCTTGGTTAGGTGATGGTTTCGTGCATATGTCCAAATTCACCAAATTGTGTACATTAAATGTGTCATTTTTGTATGTCAATTTTACCTCAGTTAAACTATGTTTTATTCAAAGTAATTCATCCTAAGAAATTGAAATATTTAGGATTTCTGAAAGAACATTCAGTTCTGAATTATGTGTAGTAGAAAAAAAACAGAAGCAAGCTAAATATCCAAAATAGTAGGGGATATATATCCATTTCCATTAGCATCATTTTAAAGGGTATGTAACAAGTTAAGAAAATATGTATTATATAATATTAAGAAAAGGAACAGGACATGATGCTGCCTATAGGTTTCCAGTAAGATAAATCTTTTAATGTATATAAATGAGCTACATGAATATAACCACAGCAGAAGACAATAAATGGTGATGGTATTAGTATAAGAAATTATTTTATTTTCTAAATAAACAAAATTTTTAATTATGATAGAAAAATATTTAAATAAATACCAGAAGATAGATATTTTAAAGGGGAATTAAAGGTCTAAAATTTTAATGGCATTAAATATATTATCTAAAATATCTTTTAGGAAACAAGATTATACCTAATTTTTTTTAAATCTATGATTGCCTATTGGTATAGTTCTTTTTTGATTCAACAAGTGGGACCAATCCTGACCTAAATAGCAAAGACCTTATGAAAGAATCCCTTCAAATTAAAAAGTAAAGCCAAGAAACGCCATTTTCAAGAGAATCATGAAAATACGACGTCAGTGAAGCTCTTATGCACTGGTTGAGTAACAACAGATTTTAAACACTGAATTTATGGTTTCAGCATTCTAATTTGGGGGGGTTGGACTGTTTTCTTCCTAGATCTGGTTTGCCTTCGTGAATGGCTTTTCTGGACAGATCCTCTTTGAGAGATGGTGCATAGGTCTTTATAATGTGGTAAGTTTAAGCCTTTTAATTATTCCTGTTCTATTGAATACTTTGAGATAGAAGTTCACCCTGCTTTTGGCTACCTGGTATAATGACTAGTTTGTGCGCTTTAGATGTTTACAGCAATGCCACCCTTAACTCTGGGAATATTTGAGAGATCATGCAGAAAGGAGAATATGTTGAAGTATCCTGAATTATACAAAACATCTCAGAACGCCCTGGACTTCAACACCAAGGTAGGAACCAGTGCCTGGCAGGACTTGCTTCACTGCTCAGTTGCTTGGGGCATCGGTCTTCTGAAGCCAGGGAACCTCCAGGGTCCTGAGCATGGCAGGCCAGGCTTGCTTAAAGCTCTGATGTGACCTGGGAAGGTGTTTGGTTTTGCTGTGAATTTAAACTGTAACCACATTTCGCTGGAGGTTGGCAGGCAGAGGGGGTGGCCCTCTGACTTTTTTTTGCAGTTTTGTGGGGAAATGCTCACTCTCCTCAGAGGTCAGTCATCCAGGACCGACACGGGCTGTCTTTACACATACAAAGTGGTGAGGGATGACAGATCGGTCTTCACTCGTTTTCTGTTTTATGAAATAACTTTGTCTTCATTGGAATACTAGATTGTATTAAGCATTAAAAATACTGTCTCTGGTAGATAACCGATTTACCAGTAGTAATCATTATTTACAATCATTATTAAGCCATAAAACGTAATATAAGATAAAATATCCAACATTTTATCTAAAATCATATTCCAGGTTTATAGCCTATATAGCAAGCCATGGGCTTTTGTCATCTTTGTGATCCACGGTATTTCTTCATCGCAGGAACAAAAATATCTATTTCCTGCGTAGTTCACTTTCCTGCAATTATGTATTCTGAAGTGTTTCCACTAGTGTTTGTTAGTAATTCAGGTTTCTATCCAGTGTAACTGAGGAATTTTGTTGTTGTTTTTTTTGTTTTTTTTAAGTTTTGTAACAGTCAAGGTAGATGTAATTTTGAAACTATAATAAAAGTATCAAATACACCTTAACAGAATTTTTTCTCATTTAATATAGTACATGTTGGTTATATTATGCATGTTATGTTACCAATAATTATATGTAACCTTAATTTGGTGTTTTGAATTTAGGAAATTAATGTAGAATATTTTGAATTTTATTATTTCATAAAACTGCCAAATGACATTTGTCCTCAGTATACCAGGGGAATAGAGTGAGACAGGTGTGTCAGCGCCTCTAACCTCACACAGTAAATGATGGTGTTAAGTTTATTGCCAGGATGCCATTCATCTTCTGAGACAAGGTATTCATGAACGCACTGTGCATACATGTCCTGGTGTGCAGATGCATACAACTTGAGGGATGATATAACTGAATTTGGTTAAATTTAAAAAAAAAAAAACTACAAGGTTTTTTGTAGAGTGGAGAACAAGTGGGTTTTTATAGAACCCACTGGGTCTATAAAGTATTTTAGTGGTCTTTTAAAACTGTTGCTATTTATAATATGCAATGTCTATGCTTTAATTTCTTAATGTTTTATTTTTTGCTTTTTTAAAAATTTACCTTTGATGTCCAATTTGTATTAAATTCCACTGCCTTGCTAAAAGGTTTTCATTACCTATGGTGAGTATTTTCAAGTGACAGAAAGCCACAATCGGGGCAGATACAATGGACCATGGGCTCTTGTTTCCTTGAAAATGTGATCTGAGAGCTAGGAAGGTTCCAGGCTTTCTGGCAGGCTAACAATAACCCTCACCAGCCCAGAGTGACATCAAGCTCAGCCACATGTCCCCATCTCCCACTGCTGAGGCTCCAGGGTGTCTCTTGAGAGTTAGCTTCCCAGCCACTGCCTTGACCTTACTCATGTTGCTTATAAACTGATCCTCACAGGATTACCCAAAACCATTCCTAGAAAGTCACATCCTTTTGTACCCTTTGTATATGGCAACTTGGAAGGTTTTGTGGCCAGTGAGAAAGTGTAACTGGTCAAATATAGTTTTAACATGAGAACAGCCTTCCTTGTATTTTTTGCTGTTCTTGTATACAAAGTATCTCATAGTCTGCAAAGCCCTGGCATTTAGAAAAGTCACCATATCAATCCAAATATACAACTTCTGTATTCATTTAAATATTTATAGATACACAAGCTGCCAGCAATTTTTATGGGGTTTATGGGTTTTTCTAATGATTTCAGTGAAAATTGTTTGAATAAATCCCATATAAACATTTTAAAATTCAGGAACAAATGGTTACAGAATGCCCGGTTGTGTACACAGCAGTTGCTTCAGGTCCCCAGTGTAGGCGCATTGTTGCCCTGAAAGACGACCATTACGTTTGTTATGGTAAAAAGGGTCGGAGGTGCTGAGGTCCTGACAGGGGTCAAAGGATTAACATGTGACAATAAGTATCGGTCAGGAAAATGGAAAAGTAGAACTAATTTTTCTTGCACCCACCTGTGCTTTCTGTCAAATAAAAACTTGCAGTAATGACATAGTGAGGAGAAGAGACAAAGGTTAATGAGTAACATAAGTTCAGATGTGTAATGTATTGGAGCGTAAATTGGATCATACAATCCAGTGTGGCTGAGTGAGCTAACAAAAGACGCTGAGATCACAGTGGAAAATTTTGGGAGGCAGGCAACTTAATTTCTGTTGTTTGAACAGCTTAAAACTATTTTAATACATGCCAGTTTTATTTAGCATACGTTTTGTTTGCAAGAAGCACTTCTGAATGACAAAACTGCAACCCTTCAAAGGGCCGTTAAGAGTTCTAAACAGTTTTTCTATAACTTAATCTTTTACATCCATGTTACAAAGAAAAGACCAGTGATGCTTGCTTTCTTGTTAATAAAATACAATAGATGAGAAAGCAATTACTATTAATGATAGTTGATGTTGACAGGTGTTTTAAAATTGTGAAAGTCTTTTATAGCTTCAGTCCTGGTAAAAAGGCTTTGCTTTGAGGAACTATGCAATGTAAATGTTACACTTGTTATTTTTAGTGTTGCTCGTGTGGATGTGTGGGTGTGTGTGGAAAAAGAGAATGCAGTATATCCTTACCATTTAAAAGTTTGCACTTTTATTGCACATGGAAAAGAAAAAGTAGGGATCTCACCAAATTACAATTTTCAAAAATTAAATTAAAATTTTCAAAAGTCTGTTCATCTGGAATTATGAAAATAGTCCCACTTGAAGAATTTCATGATCTAACAGTAGTTTTAAATTTTATTTTCTTCTTCAGGCAGAAATTTAAACTTTTAATCCTTGGTTTTTAGAAAGTAGAAAAAATTTCAGTGAAGCTGAAAAAACATTTAGAGAAACATAAAAATAAATAAATGACCCATGAAGGTCTAGGAGGCAGAAAGTGTCTGTCAGTTCTATTAATTCACAGTGGTGGCCCGACAGAAACACGTTTTGTGAATCTAGCTCACAGATAAAAAGAAAGGTCAGAGTTCACAGAGCTAGTTTATCGCAAATGGTTCTCATGGATTTTTGTTCTCCCTCAGGTTTTCTGGGTTCATTGTTTAAATGGCCTCTTCCACTCAGTTATTCTGTTTTGGTTTCCACTAAAAGCCCTTCAATATGGTAAGTAGGAAGGATATGAATGCTAAGAGGTGACTTTTACTTTTTTAGAAAAATAATTCATTGTCAATATATGTTAAAAATTATAGCGGCGTTTCATTTTATGATATTTTTTCCTTAGCGTAAAATACATGCATCTAAAAGTTGTGCACACTTTAAAGATTTTTACTATTCCTTTGGGAGCAAAGTGATTTAATATATGCAAAGCCTTTCTTCTCCACTTCTCATGGTTTTCAAACTTGCAGGGAGTGAAATTTTAGGCTTTTTTTTTTTCCCTCTGTTGATGTGTAGTTAGAAGACAATAGTGCTGATATTTTATGTAGTCTATTTATTGTACCTGTGAGACTTGAATCAGCTCTTTATACTGAACCTAATCAGACATGCTAGTATTTTCAAGTACTTGAGCTGCAGCTTTAGATGAGATTTTCAGTATGTTTTTATGTTCGTCTTGGAGTGTAAGCTTTCATCTCTGCTTGTTTTGAGGGGGCGATGTTACTGTGTCAGTTTTGAGAGATGGGATCATGGTGAATTTCCTACACACATAAAAATGATTAAGTAGTCACTCTGGAGAAGAGGTCCCTGGATGCTTAGGCTGCTGTGGCTCTGTCCGGAGCAGACCTTGACCTGGGATCCCGAGGAAGGCCACTGAGCATTCAGCTCACAGACGTACCTCGGACGTGACTCACATGCCACCCGAGGTCTGCACGGCCTTCAGAGGTACCAGCTGTCCTTGCAGCCTGAGTTAACACTGGCCCGTAAGATGCAGGGCCGGTTCTCCTATCCCACCGACAGCCTCCTCTCCAAGCTGCCAGAGGCATCCTCATAAAACATCAGTCAGACCAGGTGCCTCCCTCCCCAGAACCCCGCCGACGCGATCACGTTTAGAACCAAATCCACGGCCCCAGGCTTGGCCAACCCCGCCTGACTCTCCCGCCCACCGCTGCCACCCCAGCCAGCTCCCACTCTCACTGCGCCCCAGCCATCCACCCGCTCTTCCCGTCTTCACCAGCGGTCCCGGCTGCCCTGTCCTCCCACCCCACTCCCGATCGCCCTGCGTCCAAGACCCTCCAACCCCGACCCTCTCTCCCCACTCTCTTGGATCTTCTTGGTGCTTGCCTGGTGGGTGTGATATATCTGCTTTTTTTTTTTAAATTACCATTCTCCTCTGTTAGAACCAAAGCTCCAGAAGGGCAGGGCACTGTCTGTTAAGTTCGCGGTTGTTTTCCTAATGCCCCGAACAGAGCCTGGCTCTCTGTAGGCCCCCAGTGCATCACAGATGCCTTCATGAGAACCTGTGGTGTGAGCAGGGGAGTGCGTATCATGGAGAAGACAGTAGCTTCGTGTGCTGGTTGGAGAGTTTCATCTCCTTCCTACTTTCATTGCTCCGCCAATACAAAGTGAATAGATTCTCATTACCAGGCCCTGGAAATAGCTGTGGTAAGATCTAATTAAATATAAAATATTGACCCAGTGGGCCAGGAGAATCATAATAGCGTTTTTTAGATAAAATTTTACACACCATAAAATTCACTCTTTTATCCTAGACAATTCAGTGGTTTCTAGTGTAATCATAGAACTGTGCCAATGTCCCCACTCTCTGATGCCAGAACATTTTCATCACCCCTTATGCAGGAGCAGTCATTCCTCATTTTTCCATCCCTCTCCCCCAGCCCCTGGCAGCCACTGATTTTTGTCTCTGTGGATTTGCCTGTTCTGGGCATTTCATAAAAATAGAATCATGACACAAGAATTTAACTGATCCTTATTGTGGCATAAATCAGGACTTCATTCCTTTTTATGGGTGGATAATATTTCACTGTATGGATAGACCACATTTTGTTTATTCATTCACTCACTGATGGACATTTGGATTGCTTCCACTTTGGGGAGCCATGGGGTGTTGAAATCCAGGGTACAATATAGGACTTAAGTAAGTTTTCTAGGTAGTTTATTTTCCTAATGCAAAATCAGTGTAGGCATGAAAAACTAGGAATGTCCATCATTGAAGCTATTTTAGTACTCTAAATTAGAAAGAAAAAATTTTAAAGTAGCACAAAGCAGACAGCATCCAAAACACCTTGCCAATTCAAAACACTTTAGGAAGGAGAGGTTTGAAAGGAGTTCCCAACTAATTCCAGCCCAGGATTCCCTCTGCATTTGTCTGAGGACCTGCCAAGCCCTCCAGCCTCAGCAGAAGCAGTTCACAAGAGGTGCTGCCTGGGGACCCCAAATCTAGCCAAGTCCAGAGAACATGTGCTTCCTCTTTTCAAGAGATAAATGACATATAGCATAAATTGTGTTTTAACATTCTACTTTGTTTTGCCCTTTTTTTGTTTTTAAATAAGTTTTTGTTTTCTTTAGCTTTTGAAAGGATGAGATACAAAAGAGATAGAAATAGTTGTATAATATATGGCTGAACATTCATTCACTTGCTTCAGTGTTTCTCAAAAGTATGGTCTATAGACACCTGAGAATACTCAAGACCTTTTGAGGTCCATGAATGAGGTCAAAATTTCATAGTTTCAAATTTTTTATATTATCGAGACATTACTTGTCTTTTTCATTGCTGCTGCAAAAGCAGCAGTGGGTAAAATTGCTGGTACCTTGACACAAACACTGGTACAACTATACTAGAAATCATTATATTCTTCACTACCACGCACCCACATTAAAAAAAAAAAAAATGTTTCCCTTAAGAATACCCTTGAAGACGCTGTAAACCTAATACTTTTATTACATCCTGAAACATGATACACATCTTACTAATATTCTGCTTGACAAAATGGGAAGTATGCATAAAGTATTTCAGCCGCAGGTCAGCAAGCAGCGGCTTTATCCACTAGAGTGTCTGGGGAGTTGTTGGAGTTATCAGCTGAACCAACTATATCCATGAGGTCACAGAATCGTGCATAAGTAAAAGATCCATTCAGGATGAATTTTTCCAATGAATTTTTTTTACGGTTGTGTGTTAAGTCGCCTTAGTCATGTCTGACTCTTTGTGACCCTATGGACTGTAGGCCACCAGGCTTCTCTGTCCTTGGGATTCTTCAGGCAAGAGTATGGGCCTGGGTTGCCATGCCCTCCTCCAGGGGATGTTAGGAGTATTTTTTATTGTAACGTGGGTTTAGAGCATTATGTAAGTTTTGTCTGTGCAACAGTGTATCTCTACTAGTTCTATGTGTGCTCAGCGTGTTCACCAGCAGAACAGTTTCAGAGTCCACTGCAACTCACCTTTAGGAAACTATCTCCAGGTCTTTAAGAAATGACTTGAGTTTTAAGTAGCATCAAGGAATAGTCAGTTACTAGAAAAGGCTATCAAATACTTCTCTCCCTTGTAACTCCATCTCTCTGTGCAATTGGATTTCCCTCATATGTGAGGACTTCCTGGTGGCTTTAAAGCATCTGCCTGCAATGCGGGAGACCTGGGTTTAATCCCTGGGTTGGGAAGATCCCCTGGAGGAGGAAATGGCACCCCACTCCAGTACTCTTGCCTGGAAAATCCCATGGACAGAGGAGCCTGGTGGGCTACTGTCCATGGGGTCTCAAAGAGTCAGACCCAACTGAGTGACTTCACTTTCACTTTCATGTCAACCAAAACAATATGAGAATCGAGTTCTACTAAGCCCGAAATTGTAAAAATGTAATAAGAAATTATAAAAATGTAAAACAATGAGTTTTCTCACTAATTTTTCTTGGGAGAATAGTTATCAAATATATATAATATTTGCTTATATTATATACATTGGGTTTATTATAGTTATGTTTAGATAAATCAGTACATGTTTCTAAAATGTATGTCTTAATTTTTTAATTTGGTAAGTATTAATTGATATAAAGCCACATAAGCTAAAGCTTTGGGAGATTCCTAATCATTTTTAAGAGTTTTAGTCCAGAGCATATTAACACAAAATATTAGCACAAGTAATCTACATAAATCATCCAAATGCCAAACTGGATAAACCCAACAACAGGCTTTTAACTTTTTTTCTTGACTCAATTTTGAAATTTATCTGCAACTTTCTTATGACAAACCAGCGATGACTATAAGATTTATTGGACCCAACGACAATTATTTTTTATAGCTTTTTTGTATTGATTAAGGAACCTAACCAATAGCAGAAGCATGGAAGTCCAGGATATCTAGTCAAGGCTATGGTTTTTCCAGTGGTCACGTATGGATGTGAGAGTTGGACTGTGAAGAAAGCTGAGCGCCAAAGAATTGATACTTTTAAACTGTGGTGTTGGAGAAGACCCTTGAGAGTCCCCTGGACTGCAGGGAGATCAAACCAGTCCATTCTAAAGGAAATCAGTCCTAAATATTCATTGAAAGGACTGATGCTGAAGCTGAAACTCCAATACTTTGGCCACTGATGTGAGGAGCTGACTTGTTGGAAAAGACCCTGATGCTGGGAGAGATTGAAGGCGGAAGGAGAAGGGGACGACAGAGGATGAGATGGTTGGATGGCATCACCAACTCGATGGACATGAGTTTGAGTAAACTCTGGGAGTTGGTGATGGACAGGGAGGCCTGGCGTGCTGTGGTTCATGGGGTCGCAAAGAGTAGGACAGGACGGAGCAACTAAACTGAACTGACCTGAAGATACTTTCAGTTATTTTGTAGACCTGAGTTTAATTTGATTCTATAGAAGTTTGCAGATTTGTTGCAGGCATTTAGGTTTGCCCACAACAAACCCACAAGACATGTTAACACGTCAGATCCTATGTCCTCAATCGTGGAATACCCTATAGAGAAAGGTAGTCTCATAGGTCTCTGGACTGTGTGTTAAGCAGTCTTTCTAGCTACTTTGATCTGAAAAATGTGGAGAAGCGGTAGGTCACACTGTTACACATGGCTGGGTGCTTTATACACTTAGCTCATTTTAACCTCAAAGTCTCTCTAGGGTAGGTAGTTTCACTCAGTTTTTTAAGTGAAGAAACTGAATTCCATGGAGATTGATTGTAGACAACCCAAGATGACAAAGCTGGTCACAGAACCTCGCCAGGTCTGTATCTCCAGAGCTCACCTGGCTCATCTCTTTTTCTTCATACCAGCACCACACTCCCCATCTCCTCTCATAATTTATCTAACATATTTTGTCCTTATATGTTAGGCCTNTCACTCAGTCTTTTAAGTGAAGAAACTGAATTCCATGGAGATTGATTGTAGACAACCCAAGATGACAAAGCTGGTCACAGAACCTCGCCAGGTCTGTATCTCCAGAGCTCACCTGGCTCATCTCTTTTTCTTCATACCAGCACCACACTCCCCATCTCCTCTCATAATTTATCTAACATATTTTGTCCTTATATGTTAGGCCTTGAATACACATTATCAAATATGTGCATAAATAGAGTACCGTGTGACACATATCTTGGGTTTTAAATTTTTCGGTGTTACCAAATGATTAAATATTGTGGTTTGTTCATTTTCATTTGACTTTTTGTAACCAGCAATAGTGATTTTTGATGGTCAGTACTGGCTCCCTTCATCTGAAGCCGTGTTTGTTAGTCCTTGCTGGAATAACAAAATACTTTTAGACGTACCCCTAAATTCAGCCAGACATACCCCTCAAAGAGCCACATGCCTGGGATTACACTGGGGCTCCCCAGACCTCTGTCAGTTGCTTTTTTCAATCCCTTTTGGTCCAATGACAACAAGTTTATTGAAAGATAATAAGAAATCTCCCTAAAACCCTCTCCTATTGTTAACAAAGTTCTTTATTAGGGGTTCAGAATGCCTTCTCCTGTCTCACTGCCCATAGCACTAAGCTCTACTTGTAATGATTTTTTTTCAGTCTCTTGAACCCTGAGAATTGGTTAACAAATCTAGTTTCCTTCTTCACATTGGCTGTTGGAAATTAGATTTTCGTCTGTGACCCAAGTTGGGCAGCTTTATGAGACTTAATACCGTGTTTTGCTCCATTTGCCTTATTTCTGGCTCCATTGTGTGGCCCCTGGTTCCCCTCTTTTGTTCAGCACTCCTAGATTGATTAATCTTTGAGTGGATTCTGAATTTATTTCCTTTCAACAAACCTCTCTTCTTTCCATGTAGGCACTGTATTTGAAAATGGGAAGACGTCTGATTATCTGCTGTTGGGAAACTTTGTTTACACAGTGAGTGGGGGACGTTTGCCTCGTTTGCATATGAAATTGACTTACTTCATAGAGCTCATTTTATTTTCAAACTTAAATGTGTGCATTTCTGTATTTAAGGGTTGTTCACACATCCCTTTAAAAATGAGATGAGATGTTTGACTGTTAAGAGATTATTTTATATTAGGTTATAAAGATGTCATTTAGGTTCACTGACTGTATGGGTCTTTAGTTGTTCTTATTTTCAGTATTCCTTCTTCACTCTTATTGCCTCGCTTTCCCTTTTTGTGTCCCTTTTTCCTCGGGTTTATTTTATTGCCCTTGTTCATATTTCCTTGCTTTCCTAAACTCATGGCAAATACTACCATACTATACTTGGGTGTTTAACCAGTAATTATTCTAGAGTCACATTAAAAAGAAAATGCCAAAAAAATTAAAAACCTCCATTTTTTCGAGATATTTAAGCCACGCAAGACATGGACTCCACTGTATGAAATCCTTGTGTAAAAGCTTGTGAGGGACGCATAGATGAGTGTGAGCCCCACCCTGCCATTCAAGAGCCAAAAAAATGTTTTACGACCGTTTTTTCATCTAAAGTCAAAAGCTCCACAGGGATACTAATGTCGAAGGCACACAGTTAGTCTCCAGAAGACGCTCCCTCCAACCTTCACCTCTGAATTCTCCAGCCAGTGTCCTTCCCTCTTCTGTGCCCCCTCCAAGGCTTCGCAGGTGGGGACTGTGTGCTGTCCTGAATATTAAGTGGCCATTGATACGGCTGATTCAGTTGGTGGAAAACTACAATGTGATGTTTAAATAACTGATTAATAGGAAGTTAAGACTACTAAGTAACAGAGAGATAAAGGTTTTGGCAAATCCAGGCTCTCCTTTCCATTGACATCAACCCACTCAAGTAGTGAAAGAAAAAAAAAAGGGAAAAACACATTTGGGAGCCTAGTGGTTTGTTCTTATACAACAAGTGCAAACCAAACAATACTTGACAGACTAAGTTTAGATATAAACCAGTAGATGTCATTGGATGTCTCTGAGAGACATTTTAAAGTATCCAAGTCTTAATAGGGAGTCTTTCCTTCATTTTGTGTCAAAATCTTTCTCTTATTTTGGAATTTTTTATGTAGTCTAAGTTAAGTATTTAAATTTTAGTAAAGGTCTTATTTCTACAGCTCTTTATCCTGAATTGCTATTAGCTATCCTGCTGAGAAAGCCCAAGTGCTTCGCTTTATCCTGACTTTATGACCCAGTGGGCAGCGTCTAATACTGTGTATAAACCCTACAGTAAGCAAAAGTAGGACTGTGCACTTAAGCACCCACCAGTCACCAGTGCGAAGCAAGCACCACCCTTCCATCCTGGCAAACTGTTGGCAGTGCCCCGACTTCCTTCGTCTGCTAGCAGGATTTAGTGTGTTATTTTTATCACAAATAGATAATCATAGATAATGCTGCAGTGCTAAGCACCATTCTTGGTATTTTGCCTATAAAGCATTAAGTTTTATCAGATCCCAGTTTATAGATGAAGGAGATGAGACAGAGAGGTCATGCAACTTGCCTTGTTCCTCATCGGAACAGCTAATAAACGAGGCGTCTTGAGCACACGTGGTCTGACTCCAGGGCAGTGTAGTCTGACTCCATTTAAACGTGATGCTATCCTATGGAAAACACAGGGAAGTCCATTAAATCTGGGTCCCCTGCTTTAGAATCAGCAGCATGGGCACCAGTGACAACGCACGTATACAGCATGGAGATGTGACACGCTCCTACATTCTACTCTGCCGAGTCTCTAAGAAGTCAAGTTACAGAATAAGTGTCCAGATTTCTAAATAGCCAGTTGTATTACTTTTATAATTCATCTTTAAAATTTAGAAAATGAAGTCTTTTATTGCAGATGATGTAAAATAAATTTAAAGCCATCTTAGGAACCGAAGATGACTGTAGACCTTAGATGATTCTCCATCACTCTTCCTGAATTTTACGAGAAGTAGGCAGGCCCATGCGCGGAAGGCTTGCGGCTGGACTGTCAAGCAATGAGGAGGAGGAGGCAGGGGAGAGAGGCAGGAATGTAAGGCTTTCCATGGCAGTTCCAGCCGGTCACAGTCGTAATGTTCAGCCATCAGCTCACTCACTCATTTCTTTTGCTGGTTGGACGTACAAGTCCAGCTGTGAGTAATCTACCAGCCTGTTTTATGAACTGTCATATTTGTGAAGTAAAATAACATTTCCCTTCTGTTCTAGTTTGTGGTGATAACTGTGTGCTTGAAAGCTGGATTGGAGACATCATATTGGACCTGGGTAAGAGGATCTTTAGTTACAACCAAGGAATATCACATTTATTTGCACATTATCATTAATGTTTGTTGTTTTTTGTTATAACTTAAAGTGTCCCTTTACGCTAGTTCCACAGGTGGTTCTATAAGGGTTCAGGACTGGAGGGAGGAAAACGGGGGACTCTGGTTTGGAAACATTAAGTAAAAACTTAAATAAGTGTATGTATCATAAGAATTCTCAGAGCCCTTAATATATGGTTGTACATTGTAAATATGCCTGAAAGTGGGAGGCCTTCAAACCTATTGACTAGGAATCTTTTCATGGTAGAGTATGTCACAAGACTGCAGAAAACCCATTATAAATGATTCTGAAGACCACTTAATATTATTTGTCCTCAGACATTTGCAGATCTCCAGCCTGAATAAAAGAAGCTCCATTTTAGATACATTAGTGTTGAAGTATATTCACGTCCAGGTAAAGAAACACAGTAAGCAGAAAGAAAGTTAGATGTTCGAGGGAAAGGTGGGCAAAAGAAATTTGGATTTGACAGTCCTTAGCACAGAGATTAGTATTCACACAAGTGTCTCAGCATCTTTCAGTCAGAGCCTACAGACAAAAACTAGGGAGACTTAAAGCTGGTAGCAGAGAAAACTGGTGAGAGTGAAAGGTGAGACCCATCAAAGGAGGTGGGAAAGGAACATACCACAGGTATGATAGCATCATAGAAGAGATGTGTTTCATGCAAGAGCCAGTTAAAATGCGCAAATATTTAGTTAATAATTGCCATAGATAACACTTATGGATACAGTAAAAAAGTAAATCAGGGACTGTGTGACATCTTCATCGGTGTGTGAATCCTCCTTCCACCTGCGAGTCTCTGACACAGATTCCCTCCCTCCACAGTTCAGCCACATAGCCATCTGGGGCAGCATCGCTCTCTGGGTGGTGTTTTTTGGAATCTACTCATCTCTGTGGCCTGCCGTTCCGATGGCCCCTGATATGTCAGGAGAGGTAATGTATCCTATAACAGATAATCTGGCAAGCCATAAAAATGGGCATTCATTCATGAGCCTGAATTGCTTAGCTTGGGTTTATATTAAAACAGTATTCACCAATTTAAAAAGCTATTTTTAAACTCCACAGTTGTGAGTGATAAAAGTTGAGAGAATATTTTAAACTTGGGCATTTTACTTAAATCTGACTTACCCTTTCATAAGCATTGCTGGGATAATAAAATATGGTTGTCAGGAGCTTGAATCCTGTTAAGACCATCCATACAGAAGATGCCATTTTAAAATTAGACCATCAATCCACACATGCTTTTTGAATAAGAGATTTGGGGAAATGGTGAGTTTATGTCTTGGGACAGTCTGTCATTTCTTTTGTTATCTTTCATTCTAAAGAAAAAGGCTACTGTCTGGTATTAAATGCACTTTTAGAGTTGTCTTAATGACATCAGTTTGGTTTTCATTTTGAAAGAGTTAGGCCATCTGACATTTTAGCCTTATCACGGTCCACTTTCAATTCCATCTGTCACTTTCTCGTTACACTGGTAGGAACTGAGTTATGAGGTGTTCGTGGGGGAGTGTCATAAGATCTCCTTTCGTGCAGAAGGGATTCCAGCAGTAGGAGAGTGTATTATTTCAATTGCAGGAAATTTGACATAAAATGTATAAAAGAAAATGTGGAAAACATTTCAGGATTTCCTGTGACCTCACAGTAACTTGCAAATCGAGGTAACGTGAGCCCCGTTACAGCACATTGTTTTCCCGCAGTCACAGGAAACCTTTCCAGGGGTTTCCATTATTTGTTTCCCTAAGTACTGCCTGAGTACCTTTCACTTTTGACAGTCTGGTTTATAGATCATTTTCATGAAATTTTATCTGACAGCATCCTGCTTTTTATAAATTAGTAGAATGCAGGCACATTAAAAAAAATTTGTGGCTAAATTTATTAGAAGGAGGCATTATATACTATTACAGCAAAGCCAGACATATTGAGGAGTATGTACTTCCTTCCACCAAAGGGAAGACTCCTTCTGAAACATGCACTGTGAACTCAAGAAAATTTACAGCATGTATTTTAAGGAGAACAGAGAGAAAGCTGTGAATATGTCTCCTTCCCTTGATCTGCCTCCTTTTTCTTGAAGGAATAAAATCAGATTGCATGTGTCCACTTATGCCACCTGGAAATTCCAATCCTACTCTGTTTTTATTTGATGTACACTGTCTGATTGGGCCTGCTTTTCCCCAAGGTCGATTCTAACTTAATACCTTTTTCATTAGACCTCATTTTACCTCATGTCTGAATGTTTTATTTTCAAAATGAATGACACAAAAGATTTTGAAATCGAGATAGTTTGAGCAGCTGTAGCCAATCGCTTTGAAGACAAGAACAGAGTTTTTGACCACCTACTTCTAGGACAAGTGTGAAGTTTGACTGGCTTTTAGCCAACCAAATATAATTCTGCCCTTGCCTGTAGAATTCCTGGTATTACCAAACACAAAACTTAATATCTTCTCTTGAGATTTGCGGTGATGCTGTGTTTAATTCAAAGTGAAATGAATGTCAGTACCCCATCACATTTCTGTTCACTTCATATACAGTGGGAAGTGCTAACAGGGCTTCTTTTTCTTGTTTTACTGCTACTAATACTTTGAAAATAATGTTTAAATAGCTAATGCCCCATGGAAAATAGAAAGAATGGATTAATTCAGCTGTTGGCTTGGCTAACTTGTCCAAGATGTAAATTTGTTTAATGTATTTAAAGAAAAGAGTGATACTTTAAAATTATGTAGTACTTGGTGCTTGAAGAGTGTCTTGGTGTGCCTATATGTGTAAATGAGCTTCACGGCGACTCCAAAAAAGGAAGATGACAAGACCACCACCCACAGTCTCTGGGAGAGAAGGTCTGCGTTCACGGTTTCCTGGGCACAAGGGTTTTAGGACCCAAAATGTTATAGCAATACTCTACTTTTGAATATTTTTATTGTGCATAGTCACTAATGCTATTACAATCCAGTTAATTTCAGACAGAAATAACTACCCTTAGATTCGCATTTTTAATCTTAAAATTCTATACTTCAACCAAGAATGTAGTGAAATGCATATATGTGAAAAATTCATTTATGTGCCAGGAGTTATACTTGTGTGTATGTATATATATATATATATACACACACACACACACACACATATATCATTGGCCAACTACATTGAGTAAAACTTGTTCATCCTTTTATCACAGCAATATACTATTACAGTGTGTATTACATATATTTTATTTGTATATTACAAGTAGCAATATAGTGTTATAAATAACACAGGGATAAGTACAAATGTTAGCGTTCCCTGACTTGACATGTTTTACGTAACCCATATAATGAAACACAACCCCAGGCATTGTCCAGAATATAATAACGCTGTTCCACAGGATTCCTGGTGTGCTATGAAGGTAACCTTCTGTCGCCACCACCAGCAGGGTCGTGAGTGTCTCATCCAAGGACCTACCCCCAGGACCCCACATCTCTCCTGTTCTGATTCGGTGGCAGTTCCTCCCTAAAGTAAATAATTAAATACGTGTGTATGTTTGAGTTGTCTTAAAGGCATGACACGGGCATCCGGCATAGTCAAGCATTAATAGAGATGGTTAGGCAGACTAAAAACAGCAGCCCCAGGCCCCCCATCCTGGTTCAGGTGGTATTTGGGAGGATGAGGTACTGTGGGATTTAAAAGGAATTGACACAATAGAGAAGTTCTTCAAAAAGACAACTAAGATCTGGGAAGAATAATGCTAAAAATGCATAAGGTATATTGAATGCTTTGAGTATTTTATATGCATTTATTCTATCGATTCAGCAGCTATTTGTTGAGATTCTACTGTGGGTCAAGCACTGTGGATTCATTAGTGAATAAAATAAATAAAAATCCATGCCCTTCTCAATGTTTCTACTAGAAGGAGACAAAATAAGTGAAACAGAGATGGATATAAGTGCTATAGAGAGAACACAGCAGGCAAGAGAAGCAGAGCCATGAGTCCCATTGTTCCCCACACCTTGTGGCTTTCGCTTGTGGTCCAGTCACAGGCTCTTGAGGGGCTTGAGAGAGGGGTGTCATGATCTGACTTGTGCTTTAGCACCAGGACTGTGACCGCGGTGTGATGAACCACTTAGGAAACTGCTGCAAGAACCTAGGCCAAAAGTAATGGTGGTTTGGGCCAGGAGGGCGGTCGCGGTGAAAGGGGTCAGAGTCTGAAGCTAATCTGAAGGTCGAGTCCGTAGGATTTGCTGACAGATTGGACGTGAGGAGTGAAAGGAAACGAAGTCGAGGCGGACACCATCGTGTCGGTCGTGACCATTAGAACAGGCTTGTCCTCAACTCACTAAATCCTCCCAGCAAACTTACCACGCTCGTTTTACGCACGAGAAAACAGAGGCCTAGAGAAGCTAAGCAGGGACCTCATCTGATCCCCCAGTCTGAAGTGACAGAGGGCGGACGTGGCGGTGCGGCCCGTGGTCTTAGCCACTGCCCCGGCTGCTCCTCTGATCACGTTTATTCAGAGGGAGCCTGAGGGCACTCCCCGCGTTGCAGCTATTTCACCCACTGCCCCGCGTGTCTGCACGGGTTTGCTCTGACACGATGATGCTGCAGCCCCGTGAGTGTTCAGTAATGACCGCGAGGTAAAACTGCTTTTTCCCCATGCTCGTTTGTTTTGAACACACCCACGAGAAACTGGTGGAGAGGGGGCAGAGAGACGGAGGTCGGCTCAGGTAAGACCGTGGCGCTGCCATCCTGAGAGCTCCTCCGGGGAGCGACCTCCGGCCGCGGACCAGGATGCTGGCCGCGTTTAGCCAACCGCGGCCCCGCCACGAGCCCGCTCCGCAGGCCACGCCATCCGCGCCTGTGACGCTCCTCCCCGCCCCGAAGGGCCAGGCGCTCTGCGGACCTCTCGCCAGTGTTTTCAGACAAACGTCTTACATGTTGAAGGGCACAGATGATTCTGCTCTAATTAGCGTTAACTGGAACACAGGGTGCAAGTTACATGCAAGTTAGGCAACTAATGGCGCACGGATCAGACGGTGTACAGGTGTGGGCCTCAGGCGCCTACATTCCGCTTGGACACCCACCCACACACTGACCAGGACTTTGTAGCTGTTTCCAGCCTGCGTTCCTGACTTGTCTTTTCAGCCATCTGGAGACAGAGCCGTTTCTCTCAATACGTTGAAAGAAAATCCTTGTTCAGGAAGAAGGGGAGGGAAGAGAACTAACATTCACTGCTCACCCATTTTATTCTCCAGGCACCGGTTTTGATCCCAGGCATTCGTTGTTTCATTTAAATCCATATCACAAATCTAGGAAGTAAGCAGAGCAATAGCAAGTCAACCCAGAGAATTCATCCCAGGTTTTCCTCAAATCCCTTCAGTTGCTCTAACATCCTGAGGAACTAAATACCTTCTCTTTAATGCCCATTCCTGTTCCTTACTCTCAGATAGGGATGCTTTCTTTTCTCCTTGCAACCATTTTCCTTGCATTCTGTTGATTTCCCTGATGTATCTGCTATTTCCCAGGATACCCAGAGCCCTGATCAATTTCCCTTAGTTTGTCAGATATAAAAGCATTCCCATCTCTCTTTAAAAGTGCCTAGATTTTTAATTCTCCCCTCTCAACACCACCTAACTCCCTCAACACACTTATAGAGACACTGCCTCACTTTGCATCCCAACTTCTCATGTCATCTTAGCAATATCAGCGTGTCTAATACCAACTCATTAAATATATATTGAAAACCCTATCAACCCATGTCATCAGAGAATGTACAGTTGCCACTCGGATGATAGTAGGACCTCACTTACTGATGATCAGTCATTGTCGTAAGTATCTTCACTGACTTAACATGGAGACCATTTAACAACACTGTAAGGCAGTTCCGATCACACATTTCATTGACCGAAAGTGGTTAAATAATTCTCCCAAGGTCACACAGCGTGTAAGCTATCTCTGAGCCGCCTTTG